TACACGCCGCCACTGGGGCTGCCGCCATGGTAAGGCTCGAATCCGTCCGGGGATCCGGCGACATCGGAACCGGGGCAGGGAAGGTCTGCTATCAGGGGACCGAGAACACCCTGGTTTGGGGGCCTGCAACTTTATGTGTGGAACCTTGGATCGCGCCCCGGGAAGGAACGACTAAAGACATCCAGTTCCGGGGAGTGGGGCCAAAGGAACATTCACTCCCCGGGCTCTCAAAAACGGCGAAAGGCTTGGGAGCGTATGGGGACCTCCGGCCTCCGCCACTCAGAGTGTACTTTTGGTTAAAGGCAGGAGATTTGACCTCTCCCAGCGGTTGCATTTTCCCAAGCCCAAACACTTCATGTTCCTGCTGTCTGCAGGACTAAGGAGTTTGCTGTGCTGTGAAAACCTGAAGGGGGTCGTTGCTCCCTATGTGACAAGTTGAAAGTTATTCCTGTTTGAGGTTATGATTTGAGGGTAGTTCATGGTGTCTGCTTTCTCCCCCAATCTCTATCAGTCTCTAGTGATCCCTGAGAAGTTCCAGCACATTTTGCGAGTACTCAACACCAATATCGATGGGCGGCGGAAAATAGCCTTTGCCATCACTGCAATTAAGGTAAAGTAGGGTAAGGAGTGGAGAATATACATGAAACTTAAGTTGTAAAGACCTAAACTGTAAGTGAGGCAAGGTTGAGCCCCAACCAATCACTTCAGCTGCTGGGTGGAAAAAGAATGGCTAATAACCATCCACGTTTACCCCAAAAGGTAAGTAAGGAAAGCCAGGAAATGGTCTCACGTCAAGGCAAAGTATTTCACAAGGGACTGGGCAGTGGGTTTGGTTATCTACCTGAATTCGCTAGAATTTTCCTGGACCACCATCGTGAGATCATTCTAGATTTGCTTTCTGCCCACCTCCCTTAGTGCATCATAACAGCAATCCTTCCCCTGAAATGTATGCCCTGTAAATTGGATAACTACATTTTAAGAGGTGAGTAGAAGTGTCAACAGACTCCAAGTGTAAAGAAACCTGTAGTTGGGAGGTGGGAGTGGTGTCACTACATCATGAGCAGGACATTTACTCCAAAGCCAGAGGTGAAAGTCATTGCCCCTTTCTGGTTGAAGGAGGAACCAGTACCTTGTTCGTGGCATGAAATAAGTCGGTGACTGCAAGCTTGGGTATCTCCCTTCACCAGCCTAATGAACTCTTGGCCTTCCACATGGGTACATTTTTTTTTTCTTTTTTGAATAGGTGTAATTAGTAATGGAAATGGTTGAATGATTTCCTTTCCTACCAGTGTGTGTACACTTGAGTCAGGGATAGTCCTTTCTTGGCTCACAGTCCCCAGCTTCTAGTGCATGGTAGGTGCTCATTCAGTGTTAGGGAATGGATGTTATCAGTGATGCTGTTACCTGGTTTCAAAGAATTTTGGAGTTAACTATGATATAGACAGGTTCTTAATTCAAAACTAAATCCTAGTTTCATATTCCCTTGGTTTTTAATTCTGTACTGTAGGGAGCACAACTTTCACTTGTTCTGCATTGGTATATAAGAAGACGGCTTCCTTTTGTTATTCTGTGAAACTATTAGGTTGTCGGAAAAGTCATGACGTATTTTTTCTGTTTTTCTTTGCAAAAATGTGTCATGACTTTAACGACAACCCAATAGTAAGGCAGTGTAAAATACAGGGACAAGTGAGATGAATACAAAAGGTGGTCGCGGTTAATGGGATACTTCTGTTAAACTCTGCCTCTTCAAAATTCATTGGTTTTGTATTTGTTACTTCAAATATGTGTCATAACCTTTGCAGTCAAAACAATTTAACCAAAGCAGTTTCAGGTACTGAATGAACATTGTGATAAGTCTCATCACAGAGAGAGTTTATTCCTGTAGATAAGTACTGATGTTTTTGCTAATTTTGTGAAGAGCCAGCAAAGGCAGCTAGCTCTTCCTCTGGTGAGAGAACTAAAGCTTGGAGTTGATCTTTTGTTAAGGATTTAGAATCAGGAAAGTTGCAGGGGGTAATGGCTGGCCGAGTGTGGGGAGGTGCCTCAAAAGATGTGGCTAAAGAAGTGGAAAGCAAGGTTAATCAGACTGGGAAGGGTGAAGAATGGAATGGAAGTTGATAGAAGCAGGAGAAGATGTTGAGAGGTAATAAAGGTCCTGCAAGATTTTTTTTTAAGTGGTGTAAAAGCAGTTTATTAGAAGAAAAATGGACATTTTAAAGAAGTAGAAGCAGGCCCAAGCAGTAGAGTGGTTCAAGGGTCATTATTAGAAGAGAAAGTACACTCCAAAGAGTTTGGAGCGGGCTGAGCCAAAGAAGCTCAAAAGGCTCAAGGTGGTATCATAGGAGAAGAAGTACACTCCAGATGGTTTGGAGCCCCCCGCACCTCCAGCTGAGACAAGGCTCAAAATGCCCAAAGTACTGATCCTGCAGGATTGTTCCATGATCCCTTCCTGTTTTGTTTCCACTGATAGACCTTAGCTATGGTTATTCTTTTAAGGCTGGCTGGTCTTCTGTTCTTCCTCTAAATCATTGATAACTGCCATCTGTGGATTATTTGGAAACATGGAAGGAGGGAGGTTGGAGTTTGTTACAATGGGAAGTACCCCCTGGCCTTGTTTATAAGGAACGCTTGTCCTGCCAAAAGGCCAGTGCCCCTATGAGTGACACTGCTCTAAGTTCAGAGTAATATTAAGTTGGTATCAGCTGTTCTATTATGTAGTCCAGGCCCTTGGACTACAAAGATGAGTGTGGGTCCCCTATAGTGTACTGTACTGAGAGGAGAAATTAGGGGTGGCCCTGGGGCCGAGAAAGGGGCATCTGTGCATCTAACTTAGGGAATTGGCAAGCCATTGTCTCGAGTCAGTAAACAGGACTTTCAAAAACTTGATTGTGAAAAAATTTAAACATTTAGAAGTAAAGGAAGAAAATTATTAGCCCCTGTGGATGTATCATCTAGCTAAAAATTAGAAATCTTTAATCTAGACCCTTTCCTATCCACACATTTTAAAGTAAATCTCTGACATTTTCATCTGTACATATTTAAATTTGAGAGGCTTAGACCCTAAGTACTTCTAAACCAACCTGATAATTTGTTTTCTAGGTCATTTTCTTACAGAAGAAATAACATGTTTGTTTCCTAGGGCCATTGTAACAGGTTACCACAGACTTGGCTTTAAACAGAATCATACTCTCAGTTCTGGAGGCCACACATCCAAAATCGAGGTGTTGGCAGGGCCATGCTCCCTATTGAAGTCTTTAGGAATCTTACTGCCTGGCCTGTCTTCCTGGTGGTCACCAGCAATCCTTGGTGTTCCTGGTCTTACAGCAGCTGCATCTTGGAGCTCCAGTGTCTTAGCTGTTATCACATGGCCCTCCTCTGTCTTTGCCCTTCTTTTGTAAGGACACCAGTCATTAGGCCATCCCTGATTCAGTATAACATTCTAACCATGTTTTCAAAGATTCTATTTCTGAATAAAGTCACATTCTGAGATACTGGATGGAAATATGGGGGGGACGGACGACGATGCTGTTTAACCCAGCCCACAATCATTCACTGTCCAAATCTGGTTCATAAGTTCAGGTGTTGGTGTTTATACGATGCCACCAGTGTATGCATTAGTTTCTTGAGTTTGATTTGGGCAGTTAGCTTGCTAGGGCCTGGTCATCTTTGGGGACTGACAAAATCGAGTTTATGGTCTCGGAATACTGATTGTGATGCTGCAGTGGCCTGCCCAAAGAATGACCTTTAGAGATCCCAAGAAACTGACAGTCCCACCCCTCGGTGAACCCTGCTAACCAGAAGACCCTATCCTTAACTGCTTTGAGGGCCAGGCCTTTTGCCCTCCACAATGTGGAGATCAGAAAGTGCCACTGCAGTGTCTAACAGTCAGCATTTATTGACAGCTGTTTATTCTGGGCATTGTGAAAGAAAAGATGGTGATTTCAAGGGGCTGGCTTTTCCCAAGTTCTCTGGTCCAGCCCTGCTCTTGAACAAAGCTTTTTCTATCCTTTCTACTTAATGGCTTTCATATATGGAGGGGGTGAGGCATGTGTGATCTGGGAAAGTTCACACACACTCATACAAAGCACTAGGTTATAGGTTATTGCAGACTCTACCTTTGTGTGCTTTTTTGGGTAATGTGGCTATAAAACCAAAAATATCAGACTCAGACCTGATTCCAAAACCTCTCCTCAGGGTGTCGGGCGAAGATATGCTCACGTGGTGTTGAGGAAAGCAGACATCGACCTCACCAAGAGGGCAGGAGAGCTCACTGAGGATGAGGTGAGGACAAGGAAAGGGAGCAGTGGGTGGGGGGTGGGCCCACCTCCAAGTGGGGTCATCTGGATCTCTGACCCCTGTCCTGTCTTCCAGGTGGAACGAGTGATAACCATTATGCAGAATCCACGCCAGTACAAAATTCCAGATTGGTTCTTGAACAGACAGAAGGATGTGAAGGACGGAAAATACAGCCAGGTGTGCATTGAGATTAATGGAAGGCAGGGTGGCCAGTTAGAATTGCTCATAGGAGATTGGTAAAACAAACATCCTTCACCCTCTTCCGAATCCAGGTCCTGGCCAATGGTCTGGACAACAAGCTCCGTGAAGACCTGGAGCGACTGAAGAAAATTCGGGCCCACAGAGGGCTGCGCCACTTTTGGGGGTGAGTCAGGGTGGGGTCTCCTCTCCCTTCCTGCCCCTAGACTCCCAAAGATTTCTCATGCTATCTTCCCTGAAACCTTTTCTGTGTAATGCACATGACCTGTGTGATCTCTGTTTTCACCTGCAGACTTCGTGTTCGAGGCCAGCACACCAAGACGACTGGCCGCCGAGGCCGCACTGTGGGTGTGTCTAAGAAGAAATAAATCTGTAGGCCTTGTCTGTTAATAAATACTTTATACACCTATGGTTTCCTTCTTGATTTATTCTTCTGGGGACACTGATATATTAAGCATGGCCCTGTTATTTTCCCAACTGATAAACCCCACCCAGCTGCTCAAACAAAGTCCTTGGTCTTGATTAAGCAATGGTGTTCAGGCCTTTCCCCAAAGACGCTTTACTTCGTGGTCCCCCACCCTCTTAGTATGAGGAAGTTGGAGCTACCAACCTTCAGCTTTGTGGTGGAGCCCAACCGGCTTAACGTGGGGTTGGAGCAGAGTGGTGTGGCTTGTGTAGCTGAACCCAGCCATTTGCTCCGGTGAGTATTTTCGGGTCTTCTCACTAGGTTTCTAAAAGATGAAGGCGTGGGGGCTGGGGCCTGGGTGTCGGAAGGTTGAGGAAGGTGGACATAATTTCTTCAAATGGAAGAGATGGAATGTGTGGTTGGGGAGGGAGGCCTCCGCAACCAAGGCACACTGGTCCATTTCAATTCCTGCCCGCTCCTGGGAAAGGCCCCACTTCACGCCGATAGGTGTTCGCCTGCCGCGCTGCAGCCAATCTTCCAGTGGGGATGCTGGGAATGCGCGATGCCACACCTCCCGGGGGAAGGGGCGGGGCTGCGCCGCGGGTCGGGGAGGCTGCTGATACCGCAGCTTTCGACCAGCCATGGAGCCAAGTTTCGGGGCAGCAGGGCCGCGACGACAAGGTAACCTCCCCGCAGGTCCATCAGTGGTACCCGGCCGAGCCACCTCCCGCACCTCGGCACCTTCCGGCGCTGGTACCGCCGGCGCGCCCCGCTCGCCCCATCCCAGGCCTGACGGGTTAGGGACCCAGGCCACCGAGAGCTGGGCTCTGCGCCCTCCAAACGCCCTCCATCTTTACCCCCAGGTCCCAACTGATTGCGCCACACCATGCCCCTCAGCCTCTTCCGGCGCCTTCTCCTTGCCGCCCTGCTGCTGGTGATTGTCTGGATCCTCTTTGGGCCCTCAGGCCTCGGGGAGGAACTGCTGAGCCTCTCACTTGCCTCCCTGATCCCAGCCCCCGCCTCGCCAGGGCCGCCCCTGGCTCTGCCCCGCCTCTTGATCCCCAACGAGGACGCGTGCCGTGGTCCTGGCGCCCCTCCTTTCCTGCTCATCCTGGTGTGCACGGCCCCGGAGAACCTGAACCAAAGAAACGCCATTCGGTCCTCGTGGGGCGGGCAGCGCAAGGCCCGAGGGCTCAGGGTGCAGACTCTCTTTCTCCTGGGAGAGCCGAGCGCGCGGCATCCTACCTCCGGCTCCCGCGAGAACCACCTGGCCCAGGAGTCAGCGGCCCAGGGGGACATCCTGCAGGCAGCCTTCCAGGACTCCTACCGCAACCTTACCCTCAAGACCCTCAGCGGGCTAAACTGGGCTGAAAAACACTGCCCCACGGCCCGATACATCCTTAAGACTGACGATGATGTGTTCGTCAATGTCCCGGAACTGGTGTCAGAGCTGGTCCGGCGAGGCGGCCATTGGGAGCAATGGAAGAGGGGCATGGAGCCCCACCCAGATGCTGAGGTTGGAGATGAAGAGTGGGAAGGAGGCAGCCCCACCTTGGAGAACCACCCTGTGCCTCTTTTGTACCTGGGCCGTGTGCACTGGCGGGTGCACCCCTCCCGGACACCAGGTGGCAAACACCGCATATCAGAGGAGCAGTGGCCTCCCACTTGGGGCCCCTTTCCACCCTATGCCTCAGGCACAGGGTATGTGCTGTCAGCTTCTGCTGTGCAGCTCATCCTCAAAGTGGCCAGCCGGGCACCTCCTCTGCCACTGGAGGATGTCTTTGTGGGGGTAAGTGCCCGAAGAGGCGGCCTCACCCCAACCCACTGTGTCAGGCTGGCTGGCGCCACCCACTACCCCCTGGACCGGTGCTGCTATGGGAAATTCCTGCTGACATCCCACAGGTTGGACCCCTGGAAGATGCAGGAAGCATGGAAGCTGGTGGGCGGCTCTGATGGGGAAAGGACTGCACCCTTCTGCTCCTGGCTCCAGGGAGCCCTGGGCATCCTGCGGTGTCGGGTAATAGCCTGGCTTCACAGCTGAAAAGTACCTGGGCCATAGGAAGAGTGAGGATCTGAGGGTCCAACCAGCACCCCCACAGCCTTTCTCTCAGGGCCAAGGCAGGGGCCTAACAAGCTGCAGCTGATCAGTTTCCCCATACTAGATACTCAGTCTGTCACTGGAGACTGAAGTATGCATATGGGGAAAACCTACTCTTCCTGTTTTACTCAGGAAGAGTAAAACAATGCTGCCGTCACTGTCTCCAGCAGGAGAGGGGCACGAGCCTCTCAATAAACTTCTCTCTCTATCTTTTCGAGTGCAGTGTGGTCCTCACCAGGAGTCCCAGAACACAAACCTGGGGAGCCTGGAGGATGCCAAACCCTGCTGGATGGGAAGGACATCTCCAGGGATTTGGAAGAGAGAGGACAACCTCTCTAAGGAGGAAGGTTCCTAAGAGCAAGGCTAAGGCCACAGTGACCACAAGATATGGGGCGGGGGTAGAGGCAGGACATCATGACCCTTGGCTCCTAAAGTAGCCCCATGACGGGCAAACGAAGGGGACAGGTCCACAGGACGATCCAGACACATTATCCAAAAAACCCACCTTTTTAATACCAACCCATCCCAGGAGCCAGCTGTCCACTCCCAGTTGGGGAAGGGACACCGGCCCCCTCCTTATCACAGGGAACAGGGTCATTTCAGCACAGGTGATCTCGGGGAAAGACTGTTGTTCCTAGGAGCCTGGCTCAGTGCACAAATCTGTCCAGGGCAGATGACCGGGCGCCCTGGGGCTTGGCTGCCTTCTCTTGCTTCTGTGGCTGCTGCTCAAGGCTCTGCCGGACTTTGTCCTGGGGTGGTGAGACAGGGTGGGATGAGAAGTGGCAGGATGGCAAGGCCAGAGGCACAAGCAAAAGAAGGATGCAGCCCGTTGAGGCCTGGCCCACTCCCCAAATGCTCCTTTACCCGGTGTTCCTCATTCATGACCTTCCTCTTCCTCTTCACCAGGCTTGCTGTCGAGCTGCGGCCCTTCTGCTTTGGCTTTGGCTGGAAGGGAGCCTTGGCCTCTGGGTCATAGCCCTGAGGGAGGGGACAGGAGTGAAATCTGTATCAGCCTCAGGGACAGAACTGGCAGCACCCACCTGCTGTGCCATATTTTGGGGGACATGGTGGGGGAGGAATTGCCTGGGCCCTCGGGACTGCTCCTTACCAGCCTCTCTATCCGTTCCTTTTTTTCCTGCTCCAAAGAGATGACATCAACCTCTGCCAGGGCTCGTGGATCCAGACAAATGAGCTCTGCAGGTACCTAGAGGTGTCACAGAGACAGGAAAGGGTAAGGAGGGTGATCCCAAAGCCAGGGAGGCTGCTAAATCCCACTCCTCCCAAGACCCCCAGCATGGGAGCTTTCCCACCCCCAGCCCCAAACCACATGCAGACGTGTCCTCACCTTCTCTAGCAGGGCCTTCACCTCCCACTCCTGACGCTGCTTCCGGCTCCTGTACGGGTTACTCTCTAGGCCATCAAAGTTGGGCTCGGCAGCCCCTGGATGGAGGGAAGAGCATGGAGCCATAAATTGGAGCCTAGTCCAGCACTCCAGCCTGACCAAGCCCCTTGCTCCCGGCTGTCTCAGGCCCACTCAAACTTCCACCCAGAGCTCATTCACTTTGAGCCCCATCCCTTGGCCCACTCACCAGGAACCAGCATGCTGGTGATGCCCCCACTGTGCCCCACCCCCAGCACGTCTTCAAAGGGGCAGAAGTGAAGGCCATGCACATGGCCTGAGAGCCGGTGGGTAAGGTAGGGCTGCTCCAGGGAGGGTGGGCTGGCCTTGCCCTGCCCTGCCCAAATGTTGACCACGTCACCCATTCCAGCAGCCAGCAGTCCCCTCTGGGAGAAGGCCAGGTGCCCCGCTCCCTGGGGCAGGGTCCGAGCGCTCAGAGGTTGGAATGTCCCTCGTAAGTCAAAGATCTTCAGCTGGTGGTCCAGGCCAGAAGTGGCCATGTACCTGAGGGAAGAAGGGAGATCAATAAATCTATAGTAAGGGGTTACAGAGCAGGCCTGTGGCCAAGTCCTGGCATCAAGTCCAGTTGGGGACAAAAAGACTAATGATAGTAACCACTACCATCACACCAAACACTCTACAGACAGCCTCTTGGTTACACATCTCACGACTTACTATTTTTATTTCTCTTTACAACGAGGAAACAAGCTCAGAGAAAGGAAATCAGGGTGAGTGGCAGAGCTAGAACTCAGGGCAGGCCTGCTTCTTTAGCATCTGCCCTCTAACCTACTCAAGACATGTGAACCAAAGGGAAAATATAACGTGTACCTAAATGTGACGTCCATCACACACACACACAGCACAGCGGCTCAGTTAAGGGAAGGATCAGGAAGGCTCGACTGCAGTGGTCAGGGCGGACTTGATGGGAAAGTTGGGATATGAGCCATTCTGGCAAATTCTCAAGAAACAGAGATAGCAGGTACAAACGGATTCTCATCCGAATGTGGAGATGGTGAGACAGAGGAAGAGGTATGTTTGCACGATTGGTGGGAAATATGGTCAGGAGGATCAGGAGGGGACAAATTGCAGGGACTCTTTCATGTCAGACTGAGGACCCAATGCCCCCAACATTGCTCTCCGGCAATGACAAGCTACAACTGAAGACTACATGAACCCGAGAAACTCCTTAGGGGGTAATGAGTGATGTGCTCCAGGCCCTACCCTAGCCCCTTTCCCTGAAGGAGGGAGGGCGAGGTTGGGGACCAGATCCTCTGAAGGAATAGTGTACTGAATAAGTTGTTTATTTTCAGAGGTTGAAGTTCCTACCTATGTTCAAGTTGTTCCTCAGAGAGGGAGGCTAAAGAATTGAAGAAAGTCCAGCCAGGCCAGGAGATGTATGTTTGCCAAAGGGCCAAGGACTCTTTAGCCTTGGCTGTGAACCCACAAAGAGGGGACTGCAGAGTTCCTATGAGCAGAGACTTGCCCTGTGATGGGGCCAAATAAGAGGCCCAGCTGGATACTCCCCTGACAAGACAATCGGGGCCCCAACTCCACCAAAGGGAAAGGCTATCAGAGCGAATCAGGAATTATTGAGGGCTCTTGGGACCTAGAGTCAAAGAAACCCTTCAGTGAACCAACAGCTCTGGGGCACATGCTGGCTCCTCTTAACCACACATACCCACCTGCACAAACACCAGCCCACGGGCCAGATGGGCATTCAGGCCACACTACCACGCTACTGAACTTGTAAGTAGTAGTTCAGCTTTGAGAATCCAATCCAACCCAATCCTAATTCAAGCTCCAGAAAGCCTCTTAAGGAAGATGGTACACCTCATCTCTGGAGCCCCTAGGGCTTGCTGAGGCACTTCTGAGGACCAGAGAGAAGCTAGGGTGGACCTAAGATCAAAGGCCAGAGCTGTTCAGCATCTAAGTGCTGACCAAGCTTCAGTGAACTAACTGATTAAGCCCTGGGCAGAGAACAGCTGACCCAGGCAAGCCCCAGGAAGGCAAACTACAACTTAGGTCCAGTGGCCCACAGAAGGCAAAAAAACCTCAGGACAGGCCTCCCTACTCTCCTAGAGCCAGGCTGGCACAGAGATGGAGCCAAAAGGGTGAAACCAAATCACTTGTCCCCAAAGATACAATTCGGGGAGTCTATGGGGTCTGAGCCTCGTTGGTAGCTGCTGGGCTCTTCCTTTTCCTGATTTTCTTTAAAACAACTTACAAGTAAAGTTATGTAGTGTATATTTAATGTAGAAGACTCCTGAGCATCAGTGTAAAAGGAGGAAAGCAGCTTATGAGAAAGGTTATTCCAACAACACCCTCCAGGACTGGCTGTGAGCACCATGTACGCCCACTGAGACAGCAAGGATGGAGAAAAGCAGACGTCAGAGTAGCCCTTGAGGGGAAAAGCAGTCAGGACTTCACAGACGGTCATGAGTGGTAATGAAGTGATGCCACCAAACCAAGTAGCAAGTAGCCTGGGCACGCAGAAAGCACTCAGCAAACAATGCTTTTGATTCCTGTTGTTCCTGGTGGCTGAAGAACATGAGGCTGTCTGTGTCAAAGAAGTCAAGTTGTGGATGACAGGAAAATAGCTGAAAGGGAGCAGGCAAGGAGGAACCTTGGGAGTGGGGTGTCCGATCCAGTGATGGACACATCAAGTCTGGGGTCACAGGAGACAACTAAGTTGAAACTATGAGGTGTGATCAAACAATATGGTGAATATTTAAATTTTAAATTTATTAC